TTTTTTTTAAACAGCCTTGCCGAATGTCACTGACTGGTGATCAAATTTAAGTAGTTTTACTGAAACATAATCCACATATACAATTCAATAGTTCAATCATGCCAAGAAGAGTATTACAATAATTACAATTAAATCTCACTGGATTTCTTAAAAATAAAAATATAATTACAGAATAAGCCTATGTTATCAAAAACTTCAAAAGAGAACTTCAACCATCACTGTTTCAAGACCCTAATGTTACTGAGTCCTAACAAAATCTCAGAGCAGTTGTCTTAATTCTCTTATTTTTAACCCCTACAATTCTCTTTCCAACTCTATAGTTGGACACTGGTCTTTCTATAAAATTTCCGGCGTTCTTTAATGTGCACCTCTCCTTCAAATGCAAGAACACACCTCTCCTAAATGTCTTTGAATCCATATCATAAATTATATTTCCTCCTCATACATACCATATTTTACCTGACGTATCACTAACTTCCATAATTCTGCCCTCTGTATTTAAAAAAACCTGTCTGAAGTTCACAGATACTTAACTATTGTTCTATTTTCTGATATCCTTTTAATACCAAACTTTTCCATTTAAACAAAAGCTCATAACTAGGAATCCATGAATAAGCTGAGGGTAGTATTAGCTCATAACATCTAGAAAATGGTAAAATCCACCTACTACAACTATACTACTCTTGTCATACTGGAAAGAGACAATCAACTTCCCAAGCCTCTAGGTACTGCATCTGAAATATTTGAGTCAGGCTTCAGGCTACAGTAGTGACTGTGATGATTTAAAGTCTTCTAATTTAATTTTACCGTGCTACATCTAATGACTGGCCTCATGTTCTTCTCAAACATTATCAATCATGCCTCTATTCCACATATTCCATAAAGAAATATATTCCATAAAGAAAATCTACTGTTGATTGTTTACTTGGCTCATTCAATGGGTCTTATAAAATAGATTTCCTTACATTTCGTTAACAAGACTTCCCTTTTCAACTTTCCTTAGTAATGGCTAATGGCTACGATACCTTCCCATTCATATTTTATGGTGGCTAGCCACAAAAACACCAAAAGATTTTCTTTGTCTTTAAGATAAAAGCCTACCTGCGTATCATACTGTTGCACAATAGCAGGCAACAATCACCTTGTCTTTACTACAGGGCTAAAGAAAATGAGCCAAATAGGTGAAAAATAGGAAAAAATATACATAGGAAATATATACATAGGTGGGAGGGGACACATACAAATATATACACAAATAGGAAAATATACATAGGTGGGAGGGGACAAAAGAGAACCAAATGCAAGATATTGCTATCAATATTGATCTTTTGTGTTTAAATTCTCATGCATTTTGCCAGAATATAAAAAAACTGGGTACATTACATATTTCAACAGCCAGAATTAAGCAAACTCTTTTCCAGGACTGGAAATAACTAGGAGTCTGGGCTATAATTTACCTATGCCAAACTAGATTAATTTAAATATTACTTGATAATGAAGTAGCTAAAGATCATGGGAATGAGAACTCCCTATTAACTCCTTGTCAATGATTTATTACTCTAAGTTTACACTTAATCTTTATGTTCAACAGCTTAGACATTCGACATGTAAGCTATAATATACATCAGTCATTACAGTAGACAAAATGCCTCCTCAAAGTTCTAATGTGATGCACAACAATTTTGTACTTTCTGTTTAACAAACTTTGCACGTATGTGTTCAAGTAGGGTTCAAGAGTGCAAGAACACCAGATGTGTACAGAGGTGTGAATGAACCTTTTTAGAACTAGAAAGGGTCTAACGTTCCTATTTTACACATGAAGAAGCAGGTGGTCAGAAAAGACACTTGGTTTATATTTGAGGTGAAAGCCTGGTATTCTAATGTCTAATAGCCAAAAGGTATTACTATGTGGCAATATTCTTGAGTAGCTGAAACTAAAAGCTAAAACATTAAAATGTGTCAAAAATGTAAATGAATGTGGGAAATATTTGCTTTGCAACCAATACAAGTAATTTTTTTAATATTGATAAAAGCTTAAGAACTTTTTTGTTCAAAATAATTTATCTTTAAGATTAAAAGCAATTTAGAAAGAAATATAACTGTGAGAGTTAAAATGCACGTTTTCTTACAAATTTATATACAGAGATAGAAAGGGGAGAGAGAGCCTTTTTTTTTTAAAAGAATACTTACAGTACTATGAAAAACAACACTGTGCCCCTTCCCTAAACTTTCTATATGAGCTGAGAGGTTAAAGCATATGGCTCGATGTCTGATCGCATCCAGTGTTTGTGCATCGAAGAAATCATGCGGTCGTGCTAAAGTCAATGCAAAAGAGATAAAGAATATTTAGAGAAACAACCTGCCAAATAGTCTATTTTCTACAAAAATAATATATTGAAAGAATCAATTATTAATTATCTGTCTAGATAATCTTTGCTTTCAAAAAACGAAGTCTCGGTTTAAAGACGAAAATGTATTAAAGCAGAATCCCACACTGAGTGAATCTTGCCCCATTGGCAAGTGTCTAACCTCAAACTCCATGAATTCTACAATTTAGTGACTATCTTTTCAATTAATTTTAGCTTGTGTTTCAGTATCTCTCCTGAGTAACATTCCTCCACTTCAAACAATATGAACACCTCGCTTTGTGTGGCACACTGGAATCACAAACTCAACCACGGCCAAATATATGTAATGCATCTCATGAGCAGTCTATGTTAATATGTACCTGAAATTTTATAAACTCGACAACGTGTTAATATGAGTTTCTTCGACAAATATTTTTTTAACAGTCACTTAAACTATTAATAAAATTTTAAATGCCAATATACTCGTGAAAATTCTTTTAATTTCCTACTCCACTGGTTACCAGTTGCGTGACTATGCGCAAATAGTTTACCTTACAAAATAAGCCATTTCCTTATTTATAAAATGGAAATAACATACCATTTATAGATTAAATAAAGCAAATAATTTGGAAAACAGCTTGAAAATCAAACAGCTGGTTTTATATTGAGGTCAAACATCTTTTTAAAATAAATGAATTTCAAAAATTAAATTACATAATTACAAAGCTACACATTAAAAGATTTAAATTGCTATCAACATTTTTTCTAACTTTAATATTCATCCCAATTAACATTATAAATTGTGTCATTCTTCTTCCTAAGAAACCATTGCTAATAATCAAGTTAGTTGACTTTTAGAAATGATAGCTCTTCATGATACACTTAAAATTTGAAGATATTAACAATCAAAGGAATGCCCTGAATTCTGTTATGCATATTCTTAGGTTCATGCATAGTGAATATCAGACTAGTCATGGGGCTCTCAAAGAATCTACACTAACCAGAGCTTTTACGGGAGTCAATTTCAGCAGCTGGCAAATTCAACATAACACAACTAACGACACTTCTTTTCTTGCTGGGTTTTTTTCTCAAAAGGAAGGAAAACATTTTTTAGAAGAAAAAATAGTGATTTAACCTAATGCTAACAAACAAATTCCCTTATTAAGTCTGTGGATATTGAGAAAAATGAAAAACTAATGTGTTAAAAAAGGGGGGAGGGAGCAGCATAGTGGAGTAAGCACTGGGTCACTAACAGAAGGGCTGGCAATTCAAACCCACTAGTTTCTCCATGGAAGAAAGATGAAGCAGTCTGTTTCCACAAAGATTTATGGCTGGGAACCCTATATAGCAGTTCTACTTGGTCCTACGATTTGGTACAGTTCTTGGGTTTGGTTATCCAACTATATGCTTTCTCCTGAAAAGACGCATTTATAGAAAATAACAGCTCACCTCTCGGAATTATCCTAAGTCAACCATAACTCATTCACGATTTATCTATAGAAGTAATCATTTTCATTAAATCCACAATAATGAAAGGAATGCCGAAGCTCCAATGTCTATGCAATGAAGCCTTATCCATGATACCGCCACTGTCAAGTCTCAAAAACACCAAACCAGAATAGTAATTTCCAAGGCAATTTCATGTCATGATTCATTAGCTTAAGAGTAAAATAATACCACTTTCATTCATTTTTTTCATCTTATCCTTAGTCAATAGTCCTTGTCAATTGTTTCATAATGTGCCTAGTAGTATAACGTAGAAGCACACATAGTGAGACTTGGTATGATGTTATTTTTTAACTGGTAAGGATGTAAAAGATAAATCCCTGAAAATCACAAAAAATATGCCCCATTTTCCTATGGTAACTTTCAAATTCATAAGGTAAATTTCCAATTAATATTTTCTTCATTCATAGTTATTCATTCAGGATAGATTTAACTAGATAAAACAAAGTAGCTAGTCGATTTCAAAGCCAATCCCTGCACCCAACAACAAACCTTATCATATAATTATTATTTTTTCAGATGTGGTAGAGATTTTATTTTTTATTAATTTGAATTGGAATTTAATGCATATATCATATTCCACAGTTCAATCTCATCCAGCAGAATTGCAAAATGACTACCACAATCGGTTTCCAAACATTCTTTTTCTACATGGACTCCTTGACAATTGTCACCTTCACCCTACCACCACCACTAATTTTTTAATAGTCGAAATGTAAAGGAGGAGCCCTGGTGGTGCAATGGCTATGCACTGGGCTGCAATCAACAAGGTCGACGGTTCGACAATACTAGCTGCTCTGCTGGAGAAAGCTGGACTCTACTCCCATAAACAGTCTCAAACTCACAGGAGTAGTAGTTCTACCTGTCCTAGAAAGTCACTCTGAGTTAGCATCCACTTGGTTTGGTTTGAGCTTAAATGTAAAGGATACATCTCAATCTGGTAAACACTGTAAAAATGAGTTATAATAGTGTACTTGATGAGAGACCATATTCAGATCATTTTGCTATCCACAAGGTTTTGGAGTAAATGTTACTCAATACGTTTTGGAGTAAGTACATTACTCAATACGTACTTACTTAGTTTTCACCTCTAACAAGGTGAAATCTTCTAAAACTTTCCTAGAAACATCAACATTACCGTATTTTAATTTTTTTTCCTTATTCTTTTTCTAAGGCCACTTTTAATTATATTTCCATGCTTACTACAGATAAAGAACATGTCACTAAAATCTCTCACTGACAAACATGTTTATTACCATTAGCAGACATAGGTAAGCAGAATAAGTGGTAATAATGGATTTTCATGAAAGCCAATTGTTTTAATAATAAACAAGCCAACTAATGAAGTCCCTTAATACAGATTTCTTAGGTGAAGCACTTACGCAGGGAACGGCGTCTTTTGTTCTTTAGTTTCCTCCTCTTGTTCATTCCAGCTTTAGAAGGAGATTCTTCTTTGGCCTTGGGCTGGCTAGAAACTTTTGAGGAATTCTGCTGACTGAAGTGCGTGGGTACATGGCGAGCTAGCCCTCCCTGAGAAGCAAAGCTGGCATTGCAGCCACCAACAACACACTAAATGAAAATTAAAGGAAATATAAATGTTATTTCAAGGATAATGTATAGGGAATGAGTAGAATATGAAACAATTGAATATTTCGTTTTAAAAGTAGTTCCAGATTCGTGTGACTCTAAAGTGGGGAAACGTCAGACAGTGTAAGATGTGACAAAATAATAATAATTTATACATTATCAAGGGTTCATGAGGGAAGGGGGAGCAGGGAGGGAGGTGAATGAGGACCTGATACCAAGGGCTCAAGTAGAAAGAGAATGATGATGGCAACAAATATACAAATGTGCTTGACACAATGTACGTATGTATATATGTATGTATGTATTGTGATGAGTTGTATGAGCCCCCAATAAAATTTCTTTTTTAAATAATGGGCCTGCCTACTGCCCATGAACCATCTATCATCCCCTTGATATGTACATCTAAAAAAACCAGAGAGGAGACCTCATCTCAGCTGGGGTCAGTTTTTATCAAGATAGAAGAGAGGGAGACCATTGAGTTGTGGCCACACAGCATTGTTCTAAGGTCACCTCAAATCAACAAACACTTCTTACTGGAAATTCATGAGTGTCTTGGAGAAGGCGAGTAAACTTACATGAGTCAGCAAACTGGCGGAGCAACCTCTCATGGGTGGAGGGGACATTTAACAACCCTTATAAAGAACTCAAGGAGAATATGCTCTGGACTATCTTAATTGGACACCTTTGATGTAGTTTCTATGCAGCCCTTGTTGACCTAGTCCTTTGTGCTATTGTCTACTGGGACTCTAACCTCCGTTCTTTGAAAGTGCACATCCTTCGTAGGCTACACCAGCAAGACTCAATTTGGAAATCCCAGTAAGTGAATGGGCTTTTCCTCAAACTCATTTGTAAACCTCAAACTGAAGGCTGAACCTCTACTGTGTGAGGAAGCAGATGACTGCTAGTCCAAGGGAAGACAACCTCTTGCCTCAAGGCAAGACCAACCACCCCAAGAGGGAAAGTCGAGGCTTTCTACTGCCATCCAAGAGTTGCAGTCTTAGAAACGCAGTGGGGTATTTCTACCCAGTTGCTATGAGTCAGCATGACTCAAAGACAGAGTTTTGGTTGAGCTAGTCTTTAGGTCCACTTGGGTAGTATAGTCTCTACTCAGCTACTAAGCAGATTAGCGGATGGAATCCACTCACAGTGGCACTGTGGAAGAAGACTGGCTATTTGCTTCCATAAGACTACCAATTGCCAGAGACAAATTCCAACTCAAGGTGACCTCATAGATCACATAATAGGGTTTTCTTGGCTAGAATCTTTATAGAAGCAGATCATCAGGCTTCCATGTGAAAACAAATGGGTAGAGGTATGCCCATTAAGAAAAATGACAATATGTCATAAGTTATCAAAGAAAAACCTACATATACACTTACCTTGAAAGGTTTGTCTCCACTGTGTGTTAGCATATGTCTCTGTAACCAACTTTGACTAGTTGATGGAGTGTTGTATACTTTACAACCTTTCCATAAGCAAACAAATACCTGTGAAAAGTACAATCATATTAATTTTAATCATTCCATAACCAAGAATTTGATTCCTTATAAATTCAAATGAACATGTTGTGGGCTTTCAATTAAGGAACTCTTTAACTTATGAATAGAGCAAAGCAAATATAAATTCACATCTATCATTTAAAAAACCCTTAAATGCCTTAAAAGTTTTATGTTTTCATTTTATCCATTACAAAGAAATAATACGTAAAAGAATTGCCACTGTTTATTGATTTATCTCTAATAATCCAGGTATTATCTGACTGTAAATACATTTTTGCATATGCCTGCCAAAAACAAAAACAAAAACCTCACTAGCAATTAACTGAGTTTTATTCTCTTCAGGTATAAACTACTTCCATAAAGCATATTTCAAAAATTAAGTGTTTTAAGTATACATTGACATTCTGTACAGACTAGTGAAAATTTTCTTTATAGTATTTTCTGAGAAACTCAGATTTTCTCTAAAATAAAATCATTTGATAGACAATTCTATTTAATTAAAAATTAATTCAGAAAGCTTAACAATACTAAATGTTTTCATTCAAAATTTTTAAAACAGATTTTCCCAGAAGTGATGCTACCTCTCCCTCTGAAGGAATTGATATAAAATAAAGTTTTAATAATATATCCCTCGACATTAGGATTACAGACCATTCATCATTTTTTTATTTACTGCATGAGAACTATGCACAATTTAAATATCAGGAAAAGAATAAAGCTATAAAAAGATAATCTGCCAGTTTTCCCTAGTCTTACACTAATATTACTTATTCATATATTCCTGTTAGTTTTAAGTTTATCCAAATATCCTTACTTAACAAAGCAAACTTTAATATGAAACCAAATCTAAAAAATTAGTATGTTTTGCAAAAGCAATGAGCATGAGCTACTCTCCTATTGTTAAAATCCATTTTCTGAGGTTCAGGCAACTGAACATGACCGAGTTTGGAATGTGACGAGTCTTTTTTTTTTTCATGTTCTTATTAGAGAAGTAACAATTTCCTAACGGATATTTCTAGCAACTTGAACATTAAAAAATTTATATCAGTAACAATATAGCTATAACACTCAGTCACTTGTAGATGGTGTTTTTCTAAGATTAGAGCCACATTAAAGACTACAGCATACCACAAATCGAACAGAACAAATATCTACGTAGAAATGAGTAAATTCTTGACTTCAAAACAGAGTTCAAAATACTAGAAAAATCTACAACCTACCAACAGTTGAGATCAATTTTCACTCAAAATCAAACTTATATAGAATGTCCATAATATAATGGCTGCCGTTCCCAGTTACAATTATTTTCCAAACCAATCGAGGAAAAGATAAAAGAAATCAAAGGTATATATATAAAATGAAATTAATATTTGATAATCGCTTACAGAATCAGAGCTATCAACTTAACTCAAGGTTAAAACTAAATTCTGATCTTACTAAGAATCAAGAGATAGATTTAAAATCCTGTCCTAATTTTTTTTTTTACTAGCTACCTCCCTACCTACCTGGCCCTCGCTACCTACCTAAAATCCTGTCATAAATTCATGCCATATCAGAAATACAAGTATTTACACATTTCTATTTCAAAACAAAAAAACTTTTAGTATTGAAGATTTTCGCTAACATAGCCCTTAAAAACTCCATCTCTGATTTATTCTAAAATCATAGATTAAGTGAAATTCTGTTCCTCCAGGTAATCACCACCCCTATATAACATTACACAACCACTGGAAATGGAACAGTCCCTGACATCTAATTATTTTTCTCTATTAATAAACAAGAGTATGGGGCAATGGCAAACTTCAATTACATGAAAGATAGCCTTAATTAGTAAGTAGATACAGTCTAGACTCTAGATTGAATGTCTATTATTCAGGAGTTCTAAGAAAAACCGTAACTTGCAATCTACTAGGCTTATTATCCACTGCTGGTGGAAATGCAAAATGGTAGACCAACTATGGATGTTAACAGTGTGATGATTCCATATATACAATTACCATAAAAGAACACAACTTTTGACAAGATGATCCCTTCAGGACCAGTGCTGTGAGTGGAAATACAGGAGGGTGGAGGGAAGGTGTGGTGGAAAGCGGGAACCGATTACAAAGATCTACATATAACCTCCTCTCTGGGGGATGGAAAAGTGGGTGAAGGGAGACATCAGACAGTGTAAGATGTGACAAAATAATAATAATTTATGAATTGTCAAGGGTTCATGGGGGGGTGGGCCAGGGAGGGAAGGGAAAAAATGAGGAGCTGATCCCAAAGGCTCAAGTAGAAAGCAAATGTTTTGGGAATGATGATGGCAACAAATGTACAAATGTGCTTGACATAATGGATGGATGGATTGTGATAAGAGTTGTACAAGCCCCCAATAA